GTTGTAAAATGTATTCACATTATGAGGTTCCCAAGAAACGATAAGCAGAATCTTCAGGTGAAAATTCTAGGCCAACATTCCGTTTTCAAAAGGCAGAGATTTAAGAATTGATCTTGGACAGGTAGTTTTGGGGTCATTGTACTAGCGTTGGTGCTCCTTTTCTGGCACCACAAACAAAAACAGAAACATGTCAGGCTACGATCAGCGAGTCAATACCCAAATGATGCAGATCCAGATAGTGGCAGAGTCTTCTTCGGAGTCCCAATCTTCTCCTACATGGAGCTTCAAGGGGCAACCAAGAACTTTGACTCCTCCAACAAACTTGGAGATGGAGGATTCGGCTCTGTTTACTATGGTCATCTTATGAATCACTCTCATTTCTTTTAGTGTAATCTTGTATTTTGCTTCATAAAGTTTTGAACTTTAAGCTATTTCATTTTATTTATAGGGAAGCTTCAAGATGGGCGTGAAGTTGCAGTGAAACACTTATTCAACCACAACTACAAGCAAGTGGAACAGTTCATGACCGAAGTTGAGATCCTCACTCGCCTGCCTCATAGAAATCTTGTCTGCCTCTATGGCTGCACTTCACGTCAGAGCCGTGAGCTCCTTCTTGTCTATGAATACATCCCAAATGGCACCCTTGCCAGTCACCTACGTGGCAGCTCGACAAATCCTGCATTGCTGACATGGCCTATTCGAATCAAAATCGCTATAGAGACTGCCAGTGCTTTGGCTTACCTTCATGCTTCCGGCATCATCCACCGTAACGCAAAACCGACAACATTCTCCTTGACAAGAATTTTTGTGTTAAGGTTGCAAGTTTTGGACTATCTAGATTGTTCCCAGATAATGTGTCATATGTTTCAACAGCACCACAAGGAACACCAGGCTATATTGATCCCGAGTATCACTTTTGCTTTAGGCTAACAAACAAAAGTGATGTGTATATTTTTGGGGTCGTGCTTATAGAGTTGGTATCTTCAATGCCAGCAGTTGATATGGGAAGGAACAGAGATGAGATTACATTGGGGAGTCTTGCAGTTAGGAAGACTCAGAGGAATGAATTTGAGGATCTGGTGGATCTTTGGGGATTGAGAAGGATAATGAGGTGAAGAAAAAGGTGGTTGCAATGGGAGAATTGACATTTCAGTGTTTGCAGATAGATAAGGAGACGAGGCCCTCCATTGATGAGGTTTTAGAGATTTTAATGAAAATTGAGAATGGGAAAAAAGAAGACAAGAATGCGGGGGAAAATGTTGATGGTGGTGAAATTTCAAAAAATAAAGCAGATGTACATGCAAGACCAGTGACTTCACTAAGCTTTGATCAGGCAAAGTTGCTCAAGTCGGCAACTTCACAAAACAATGCGATTGAGAGATGGGGAAAGGGAGAAGTTGATCAGGCAAAGTTGTTTAGCATCTAATCTCTAAGCTTGTCTATAATTCATGGTCCCTGGTCCATGTTTTGCTGCATTGGAAGCATCGTTGCACGTTATTCCTCATCCTTACCCTTTCAAGCCAAGAATTAAGTGATTGACCATGAATATTTATATTAAACATGAACACAGTACAAAATTTTTGTATTCATGCTACTATTCAACATTTTAAATTATCTTTCTTTCAGCTTTACACATCAAAATTTACGCAGTGTTTGGTTTATTAAAGAGAAAGGAAGAGAGATATTTTTAATGTGTTTTGTCTCCCATATAGTGTGCTCTGTCTTTGGTTCGGTGTGTTTAGTTTTCTTTCATGATTGGTGTTCTGGTTTTAGACGCTCTAGTATGTCACCTTAAACACTGAAACATGCGGAACGACATTGTCTCTACCTGGTGTTTGTGGCATTATCCTCACCTTAATTTAGAACACTTTTCTGGTTGTTTGTTCAACAAGATGTTGTTTCAGTGTCCAGGTTTGAGAAGACTAGCAATGACTAAACTATCAGACGAAATAAAAAAGTGAACTTGGCCAATGGAAAACTGCAAAGAAAGGAAAGAACAACGGAAGACGAAAAATTGAGCACTATAGGATTTGTTTTCCCATCATATTTAAATAAGATAAAACAAAAACTCACAGTAACCAGACTACGCAGCACACACCATTAAATTTAAAAGGGATTGATAGACTCCTTTTTGGGCTTGGCTTATGTCTCTTCAATAGGCTGGGCATGAAACCTGCTAAAAAATGACAAATTTCATTTACATAAATTGTTAAAAGATAGTTATGCAACTTAATATAAGCTCCTATCTTTAATATAATAGTTAGTTTGACATTCAATTTAGTCCTAAATATAAGACTCCCAATCTACTTTGTCTCTCATATTTATTTATTTTTTTAAGGTAGTTTTGTAATAATGGCACATATTAAAATTTCAACCAATAGTAGTTTTAACTAATATATATTTAGCAAGAGTATTTTAAGGAAGATATCACCAATTTATTATAAAAAAACTAACTTAATTAATTTTCTTAATTTATTTAAATTAGTTAACTAACTCTTATACTAAGAACTGGAGGTAGTACAAATTTTTTGTTGTTTGAAATTTCAATTTATGCAAAATAAAAACTTCCAAATAAAATAATTTGTTCCTTATATTTTTAATACGTATAAAATAAAAAAAATATAAAATAAAATATATGTTAAACTATACAACATAATCCTACTAAAGGTGAATTGCATATAATCTCCCGATATTTCAAGATTTAAATGTAACCTACTTAAAAAGTTTTAATTTTTAAACTCACCTCATTAAAATATTTCATCTATTCGCTGGGTGGATAAAATTTTGCTGTTATAATACATGAAACCTACATTAATTATTATTTTATTAACAAGTATCTTAGTACATGCAATTGCATTTGAGAAGTTTCTTCTTCATGAGAATGGGAAGGCCACATTTTTGGTGCTGAATTATGGAAATAGCGAGGAAAATGAACATAAGAACAGAAAAGAAGAAGAAGGCAAGGCAAGGAAGAAAAGGGCCAGAAATAAAAATATGGATCGAAAACGTGTTTTGAATAATCTAAAATCTTCAGAACTCCGTCACCATCATTTTTTCTCCTAACTTGTCTTCTTTTTCTTCATTGGACTCCAATTATCCAATCAAGTACTTAACGTCTTCGACCACACATTAAGTTCAGATAATGCCCCTGGTGATTTCTCCATGAAAGAAGTAAAATCCAATTATACTTAAGTTGACCCTGATGATGAATACACACACACATATATATATATGCTAGCGTATTTGCCGCGGATAAAACTCGGAGTTTCTGTCACTGGTCTTTTTTTGCCGTTGGGTGAACTTCAAGGCGGAGGGAAAAGCCCTTGGACTACTCAAAGTCATGCTAACATGACATTTGAGGAAGCTGAGTGGGAGGAATTGGATTCTCTCCACTACTCTTCCCATCCTCTTCCTTCCACTACCCTCCTTTTCTCTTCACAACTATTAGATCAAAACTCCAATGGTCCAGATTTAATATGTTATAACATTTATAAAAATAAATATTTGATAAAAAATAGATAAATAAATTTAAACTGTTAAAATCTAATCTGAACAGTTCATAACTACAGACTGTTATTATAAAGTATATTTTTTTTTTTTATTACAATTGTAAACTGTTCAGACTAGATTTTAACAGTTTAAATTTATTTATTTATTTTTTCAATAACATTATTTTATAAAATGTTAAATCTGGACCATTGGAATTTTGATCCAATGGTTGTGAAGAGAAAGAAGGGTAGTGGAGAGGAAGAGGATGGGAAAGTAGTGGAGAGAATCCAAGTCCGGGAGGGAGTGGGTTACCCTTATTCTCCGGGCCACTTTTCCAAGTCTTGTTCTAGGTCAATGTCCAAGTCAACCGACGTAGTAAGGACTCATTTGTGTCATGTGTCATGAGAATCCGCATAATTTGGCTGCCAAAAAGTATGAATTTAGTATGGTTACTCCTGATTCTCTGCTTCCTTTGCTTTGTCTGTGTTGTTATCTGCTTCCTCTCTCAGTTGCCTGTCCACCAGAGCCTTCTCGCTGTGGAAGTCTTGGGGATATTTACTTCCCCTTCTTCGACAACACAACGGGCTCATTTTGTGGTTTACTGCCCATATCAGGTTGTCATGATCCAAGGCAACCCAAAATGATCCAATTGGGAAAAGAATGGTTCCACGTTAAGCAAATCCCCCCGAAGGATGACCAACGTGGAATCATGGTTCTTGTCTCCAAGTTTCGAGAGCAATGGAGATCCAACCCCTGCAGCGTCTTTCCTGAGGAGTCTCCTTTGCTGTCTTTCTCCTTTTTAAACGGGACTTCCCTTTTGAAATGCAAGCATCCTCTCGACCACGAGGAACCCTTCGATTATGAGTTAGATCAAAAATGTGATGAATACCACATTTACCACCCTCCCGAGCAAGATAGCCAGTGGCCCGGTCCTTCAAAAGAATGTTCACGTGTGCAGCTTCCATTTGAACCGCCATCTCCTGGCTCATCCGTATTCGATGAAATCTATATTCAAGTAAATGTATCTCTCTCTTGTTTTGGTTGTATTTCCAGAGGAGGGCAATGCCTACCAGACGGCAAATGCAGCGTCCATGGTATGAGCACCTTGATTGATTGTGATCATTCAGATAACTTCATTTCTCTTCAGGCTTCTTGAAATCTTATTTGTTGATCTTTACCTTGATGATGACAGAGCACAAGAAAATAGATTCCAAGTCTATCACAATAGGTAATGTGTTCCCATGTTCACCTCGAGACAAGAATAGTCTTATTGCTTTTCATTCATGCCAGAGTACTATTGCTTGGTAATGAGTTTTATGAGTATTCCAAGTTATCAAATGGCTATAATTCAAATGATTTAGTAAGCTTTGCTTATAATACATAAAATTTCTTATATATCTTGGAGTTGTTTGTGAGCGTTTGTGTTGATGAGAGGTCACATTCCAAGTACATAAATTTTTATATTAATTGTCCAAAAATCGATTAAAATTTCGAAGCTTTTCCTCTTATAGGTGTTGCTTTTGCAAGTGCTGCCGTGATTGTAATTAACTTGATTGCTATTCTATTGTGGAACAAGCGAAGATATAATTCTTTAAGCTCACAAAATAAGTCGAGAAGCATTGCACCTGATAATCCTCACTCAAATGCAATCCTAGAAAGTGGAGATATTTACTTTCGTGTCCCTGTTTTCTCCTATGAGGAACTCGAAGAAACAACAGAAAAATTTGATGGAGCAAGAGAACTTGGAAGAGGAGGCTTTGGAACTGTTTACTATGGTACGTAATCCACCTCAAAAAAATGCCCTATTCTTTCAGAATGTGTGTTGACAGTTTCTGCTGTAAGAAGTTTCCATTCTTCAAAGTTTAAATTTGAAGGACAATCTTATTGTTTTTGGTGAGATGCATTGTTATTGACTTGTGTTAATTTAGATATTGATGAACAAAATAACTTGTTTGTTTGATTTTGAGCAACTAGGAAAGCTTAAAGATGGACGAGAAGTTGCTATTAAGCGCTTATTTGAGCGCAACCCTACATGTGTACAACAATTCATGAATGAAGTTAAGATCCTCACACGCTTGTGCCACAGAAACCTTGTGTCGCTGTATGGCTGCACTTCACATGCCAGTCATGAACTGTTGCTGGTTTATGAATACATTCCAAATGGAACTCTTGGTTGTCATCTCCATGGAAATCTAGCAAAACCTGGTTCATTGCAATGGTCTGCGAGGATGAGGATTGCCCTAGAGACAGCAAATGCATTGTCCTATCTCCATGCTTGTGGCATCATTCACCGTGATGTCAAATCCAGCAACCTTCTTCTTGATCACCATTTTTGTGTCAAGGTTGCTGACTTTGGTATTTCCAGGTTGTTTCCTAAGTTTGCATCTCATGTCTCCACACCTCCAGCTGGCACGATAGGTTATTTGGATCCAGAATATCATCAATTCTACCAGCTTACTGAAAAGAGTGATGTTTATAGTTTTGGAGTTGTACTCATTGAGCTGATATCTTCTAAGCCAGCTATCATTAATACAAGGGACAATGATAAGATTAGTTTGGCAAATATGGCAGTTAAGAAGATTCAAAGAAAAGCATTTAATGAGTTGATAGATCCTTCCCTTGGGTTTGAGACAGAGGACAAGGTTAAAGAGATGATAATCTCAGTGGCAAACTTAGCTTTTCAGTGCCTGCAAAGGGATGGGGAGCTAAGACCTTCCATGGATAAAGTAATGGGCTTTCTGCAGAAAATTCAAAACGGGGAGGATGATTATCTTAAGCACCTAGAGTTTCATCGTTCTAGGTTTTCAAATTGGGAGATCCATACATCTCTCCCAACATCAGCACTTTTGGATGGATCGGTTGGATCATTGAACAATTCATTGCCACAGTGCCCTCCCCATACAGTATGATCACTATTGGAAAAGTAGTTTTTACTATACACTAATGTCATAACATATCCATTTGATTCTCTTGAAAGGATAATAAAGACACAATTTTTGTGAGCATTCATCCTCAACTGAGGATGAGTTAGCCTATCATCTACTTGTACTAGATCTCATATGACAAGGAAAATCCTTGTCATCACGTAAACATCTAAGGAAAACCCTCACTCGAAGAGAAAAAGTTTTAATGTACGAGAGAATTAGATTGTTTCATGCAATAACTAGATTGAAGATTTTATCCGGTTGTGGGGAATTAAGGGCTGCAATTCCTTCCCCATGGAACACGCAACACAAGTCCGAGCTCCCTATTGACAGAAACCAGCATCCATTATATTCCATGTCAGTTATTATCTATGTCTTGTGTAGCAGTTGTATGCAGTTATTTCCTTTTCTGTCTTTTAAGTTTATCCACGCTAGGAGTTATCTGCTAGTTATTGTGGGTTGTGTCTGGCTATATAAGCCTAATATGTGAGAATTATCGTGGAAACGAAGTACCATTCAGTAACCACTCCTTTTTCTCTCATATAGAATTATTGCAGATTCTGGTTCTAGATATTTTCTCTTCACTCATCTCTCTTTTTTACCTAAATTTCTTTTCCATCCACTTCTGTCCTAACAGACATGGTGCTGGACTTGGCTGAAGGACCTAGACCAACAACATGAATGACACCCGTGTCCTTCTTGATCTCCACATAATGTGCCTCGCGCACACTCTGAAGTCTTAACGCTAATGTTTGGTCCTTAATTAAGTGATTATGCTCACTCGGTTGACAATATATATATCGTCTAATAGGTAAGATTACTTTATTCAAAATCACTAAAGATATAACTAGCCATAACAATATTATCAATTAAATTGTCAAATAATCAGATAAGATTTGATAAAGCGTATCAGCGACGTGGGACACGTTAAAATACTTTTCAAACTGACTTTTTAGTAACACCAATCCAAACATAAATCACATTACACTAATTGACTTTTACAAAAGTTAGATAAAATAAAAATCAATTTTGCTACTGTTAATCTAAATACGCCTGAATGGCTAGCTACTTCGCTTTGAGGGACAACAAATTTAATTCTATGAAATGACGAAAAACCAAAGCCGAAGTTGTGGCAACTACCCTCTCCATCCCTTTACTTACGGACGCTGGCAGTGGAGGGAGTTTTTTGATTTGACATAAGATAGTAAGGTAATTCAACACACACAAAAAAAATAATTTTAGAGTTGTTCCTAAAGACCTCATACAAATCAGTTCATTTTGCAAGATCATTTTGAAATTGAAATTTATTTATTTCAATTGTTCTTATTATATTTCTTTCTCCCTTGTATAAATATAACAAGTGGCTAGTTCATCTTCTTGGTCTTGGTCTATCAACCAAGTCAACTTTCAAGCAAGTTATTGCTTGAAAAACAATCATATATAGTCTCAGACTGAACTTGTTCTACGCTTTTGGAGGGTGCCCACTTTTCTTTGACTGTGGGAATCTGGGCACGCTCTGGTTCCCTTTGACCCCTCCACAGCACAAAGCCTGTGGAATGTTACCGATTCATGGCTGTGAACGCCCCAGCGCTGAAAATACTGTGCTCTTTGGGAAAAAGAAGTTTCAAGTGATGAGAATAGACATGTTCAAAACTGCGGTTTTCGTTAGAGACAGAGATTTACAGAAGCGTTTGGTAAATAATAGTCGTGATGCCTTGTGCTGCCGTATTACTCGTCCTTCCTGTATTCTGAACAAAGGCTTGTGCTGCCTCAACAGCACCGGAGCATTTTTATTGTTCCAAATTCAAAGCTACGCTTAACAAGTAACATGTTAAATTAGCTCTGCCTATTCTTTTTTTTTTTTTGTGCGTGTTATCTAATGAACTCCAATTGTAATTTGTCCATTTCATATCTGCTCCTCTTAATTGTGGTAAACAATGAAATTGTGACAGAAGATCAAAACAGAAGACGGGCCTAGAAGCCGGGATTGATAATAGGTACTCTGGTTCTATTTATAAGACAGAAAAGAGAAATTTTTTTGTCCTATGTATAGGGCACCAAGAGAAATTTTTTATATAAATGTACAATTTTATCTTTTATTTATTATTGTGTTAACTTTGTTTACATGAGGTATAGTATATTAAATAAAAATAAAGTTAAAAGGTTGTTGAATTTTAAATAAGAATTAATGAAATTTAAGGTTTTCCTTAGTATGTGTGAAATATGTTAGAAATAACTTATAAATAAAACCAGAAGAGTAACTTTCCCTTTATTTTTACTCATTTTTAGCTATCTCCTTTTTCCTATTATTATTTAGATCCTATATGACTTAATTATTATTTATATTATTAATATACATATGATAGCAAGTTCTAAAATAATATAAAATTTTTATACACTATGGGAGAGAAACAAGATTTTTCATATGCATGAGCAACAATTTATAAACTAAAATAAATTATTTTTTATATCCAAATATAACTTCAATTCTAAAATAAAGCAGGTTGTTGTTTATTTCTTTCTTGTAACCAATAAAAATATCTTTCACATCATACAGACACAATTATATTTTGTAAAATTATCATTAAAAACATAGATCTAATATGGTTCTAAATGCTATTAGTTTTTTGTGAAATTATCAAATTAATACTCAATTAATATTTAACCTTTATAAATTTTTATGACTTGTTTGTTTTGAGGAAAACAGAGGAGAGGTGGGAGATTTTAATGAGCTCAACTGAAAAGGAAAAAAAAATCTATTTACTTCTCTTAATTTCCTCATTTGACTTGCCTGATTTACTTCTTAACCCTTAGACCACACATTAAAATACAGGTGCGTAAATATCACTGGATAGATAATGCCTGGTCATTGCTCCATAAATAATTGAAAAGAGGTACAATTGGATAATACTTGTTGATCCCGATGATGAAAACATATAATGGGGTACTTTTAGAATCACAATTGGTAAATAACAAAGAGAAAATTACATTAGAGTCCCCTTCATGAAAATTAAATGTAAAAAAATTTCTTAAAATCATCAAATTAATCTGAAGTTTCAAAGAGCCTTATTACAAGAGAATTATCTTGTTCAATTACTAAATTATCTCATTTTTTTAAGTATGCATTGAAAGCTGAAAGGACAATCCTTAACAACTTAAAGGGTAATGATTAACAATTATCGTGACAGGTATTAATAACATATTTTCTTAACGTATTATAAAGATTTAATGCGTGGATTGTTAACATGATAGGGATAAAACTTGGAGTTTTTGTTACTGCAGTGTCTTTTTGTGGTTGTGGGAACTTCAAGGTGGAGGGCAAAGACCTTGGAATATTCCAAGTCTCGCTAACAAGACATTCGAGGGAGCTCCGTATAGTAAACACAAAGATTCATTCGACCATTATTAACCCAAAAAGGTTAGCCAAAGATATTGTTTGTGTGATGAAATCTCTGCACAAGTAGTACATCTGAACTTCATTTTCCTTTAGGCATCTTGAAATCTTATTTGATGGTGAAAAAGAGTAATAAACACTACAAAAAAAAAACAGCTTATTACAGACAGAATTAGTGATGAAAAATTATTTTGTCACTAATTTCTTACGAATTACCGAAAAAATTCCGTAGTTAAATTTAGTGATGGAATTTTTCTATCGCTAATGTTAACGAAGGATTAGTGATGAAATTATTCTGTCACTAATCTATTGAAAAATCTGTCAATAAATAATTAGCGATAAAATTTTTTTTCGTCAAAAAATTCTATCGCTAATTCTGTCGCAAATTTTAATTATAAAATTTTAGCGATGAAAAATTTCTATCACTAATTCCATCATTAAATTGTTTGTCAATAAAATTTTTGTCACTAATTCCATCCCTAATTTTAAATTTTATTATTTTAGATTATAATCTTACAACAATTTATATAATAAGCTAATTAAGAATATAATGATTTAAATATATTTTTAATTGTAAATAAATTGATATATTTGTGGAGATGGTGTTAATGAAGATATCATTATCCTTTATCTTATCATTAGATACATATTGATAATAGGAAGACAATTTCTTAGAAAATTTGTTTATATTTCATTAAAATCAATTCCTCTTGATTATTAATAACAATTAAACAAATATAATAAGAATATTAATAATTTTTTTATGCAAATTGATATATGATACAATTCAGAATCAAAAAAATGAATTTATGTGAACACCGCAATTTATGACCACAAATCAAACTAATAGTCAAGTGAATTTGAATTTCAATCATTAAACAATGAAATTTGATCATGATATAATTAATACTCATGATATACATTGATTTTGATCTTCAACACAAGAACAAATGGTATATAGAAAGAACTTTAAAAAAAATCAATTATATAGGATACATATATAAGTAGGAGAATGTTGTTTATCATAATCTGTTCAAATCATTTAATTTTTTATATAGAATAATCTATTAGATTTAATTATGGTAGCTATTTTTTGAATAACAAGATTTTTTTTACTAATTATAAATGCTTTTCATCAAATATATAAAACACATATAGATAATAATATAGTGTAATATAACACATATGTAGTTAAATTATATAACTTATCAATGCTAATTAAAAAAATTAAATTTAAAAAATATTTATGAAAAAATTATGCATGATTTAAAATTCAAAATTAGTGTCATTAGAAATTAATATTAGACTACAAATGAGGTTTATAATTAGGACCGGAAGTAGTATTAAAAATATTTTTAAAAAAAAATTATAAATTATAAAATAAATAGTAAAAATTATTTAAAAATTATTTTGTCACAAAAATAGTTATGATTAAAATTATCATATAGTTTATTTTTAGTTTTTGATAATATATATGTGTACATATAATTGTTTGTATAAAAAAATATTATATATACTTAATTTTGCATAATAAGTCAGTAAGATCATTGCAGTTCAGTTGGTGAAACCGCGCGTGTATACACTTTGAGGAAGAATTATGTGTAGTAGTAACACATGGCAATACAAGGTAGCATGCGACATGGTGACATATGGCGATGGAGGTCAGGTGGCAGTGATACGTGGAGATGATGATGAGGTGGCAGTGCAGTAAATGGAAGCACCACGTGGCATTTTAATTGAAGGAAAATTTCTATTGGTAATTACCAACGAAAAAATACTTTATCACTAATCTAATTAGCGACAGAAAAATTAGCGACGGAAAAAAAAATTCTATCGCTAATTTCGTAGCTAAATAAAAATTCCGCCATTAATCGCATGTTTTTTTAGTCAAGTCTTATATTGACCGTGTGCGTGGCTGCTATATATACTCGAAGAATTAATTAAAATATCAAAGCTTTTCCTCCTATATATAGGTGTAGCGATTGGAGAAGTGTTGTGATTATAATTGCCTTGGTTGTTATTCTATTGCGAAACAAACGAAGACACAAGTCTTTAGACTCAGAATCAGTCAAGAAACACCGGATCTGATAATAATCACTCAAGTACTATACTAGAAAGTAGAGATATCTACTATAAAGTCCCTATCTTCTCCCATGAGGAACTCAAAGAAAAACAAA